CGGAAGGGAAAGGGCAGACACGATGGGGTCTTGGCAAAACGAAACATCAGCATGTCTGCTCACGTGCCCCAGTTAAGTCTGGGACAAGGTTCTTGAGTGGTGGGTGAAAATTAACACAAATGTTTGCTGGATATCATTAACACATGGACAGACTTGCTGATATTTCGTTTTTGCCCGGATCCCGACTGCGTCTGACCTGAGTCTACTGACTTAGCAATTATAGTGCTTGCAAGACCTTGTGTGGGTACCTCGCAGGCGACGGTCAGTTTCTTCCCACGCCGTTCATTTCAGCATCTTATCTTCCTCAGTGACCAACATAAACAGGTCATTCATTGTGCGCTGTATGTCGCCCGGTCAAATATCGCGTGGTGTTGAAATTGTTCAAAACAGGGCTGGGAGCGGCGGACGATTGGATCGGTGAGACCGATCCGATCCGATCCGATCCGATCCGATCCGATCCGGACCGGTCCGGACCGGTTCAATGTGATTTGGTCTGGTCCGATGTGATCCGTGGATGACTATGATTGAGGTCACAGTTTGGTCTGGTCCGATCTGATTGGTGGATGACTATGAGTGACGCCACAGTTTGGCACTAAAGTCGGTCCGAATGATCGCATGGTGTTGCCACGAATACCATGTTACTGAGCGCTGGGGCCTGGCTCCAAAGCAGCCAGACACGTGACATATATCAAGCGTGCGCCGATTCGCACAGGCGTGCCAACAGTCCATGCAGCGTTTTCCAGGACGCTCGCACCTGGTCACGTGACGTGAGCCGCACGTGACCCGGAGGATGACATCAGTCGGCTGCGGCGCTGGCGCCCTCTGCAGGTGCCCCCAGCGGCCCCTCCCCCTCCGGCCCACCGGGGGAGTGGCGGACGGCAGCCGACGGGCGGCCGTCTGTCATCCAGCCGCAAACACTCGGACGCCTGAGTAATGGCGGCCGCATAAAACGGCGCGCGTTTACGCCCGCTGCAGGTGTAAACTGGCGGCGGTCGCGCCCCGTCGGCCGCCGGAGTCAAACGACTCCCGGAAGGGGGTAACTGCGGTGGGCGGCGCCGCGGGCGGGCCCGGTGCTGGCCGGCGGCCGTGGACGCCGCCGTCCCGCGGCGCTGGGGTGCTCCGCTGGCTGGTGGTGTGGGGTGCTCGGATGAGGCGCAATACCGCCGTCCCGCGGCGCTGGGGTGCTCCGCTGGCTGGTGGTGTGGGGTGTTCGGATGAGGCGCAATACCACCGTCCCGCGGCGCTGGGGTGCTCCGCTGGCTGGTGGCGTGGGGTGCTCGGATGAGGCGCAGCAAGATTTCATGTCAGTTCGTGTTGCACGACATGCAGGCGCTCTTGTTGACATGGGACGTTACAGGAAACTGTGCTGGCTGTGGGGACGGGCGGAGGGGCGGCTCCTAAATCTGAGGTCAGGAGCTTTTCACACAGTTGAGTACCGCCGTCTTGTCTCTTAATTAAGTGATTACCATGAGAACAAATATGTGTCTAAGTTGCTGGCTAACGTACGCCGCGTCTCAAAGCAGAGATCACGTACCGTGGTCTGCCGAGAATCGTGCGGCATTGTGTTTACACTGAGGTTTCCAAATGGTGTCAGTTTAGTTTATTTCTAACTGCTGCAGAGATTATCTTATGCTGTCAATAGAGTTTGGCTGTCAAGTGTAACTATGCATAGACTTAGCTAGTTTTCGTGTTAAATATGCGATATCTTTCGGAAGATCCAACTATTCACAAGTCGAGGAAGCTTCAACGCCCGGGCATTTGGTAACAAATCGCACCCTTATAGTTCCGCAATGGAAAATTTGAACACAGTAGCCATGATGTCATGTCCCTTCCCCAATGTCCGCCCGTCCAAATTACCCAATATCACGCCCCTTCTCAATTCGCGACCCAGCGAGGGATTCTGACCTATAATCAACATTATAATCACCAACAACACCGACCCGGCGTATTCCCTGCCTCCCCGCTTGACCAATGGTGTGGTGTCAGCAGGAGGAATGTCTGGTGTCATCGGGAGTGGTGTCAGGTGTCATCGGGAGTGGTGTCAGGTGTCATCGGGAGTGGTGTCAGGTGTCATCGGGAGTGGTGTCAGGTGTCATCGGGAGTGGTTTCTGGTGTCATCGTGAGTGGTTTCTGGTGCCATCGTGGGTGGTGAGCCATGTGAGGCCATAGCACGGCGGCTATCCTGAGCTGGTGCTCTGCGAACGTGTGAGCCGCAAGCCCTTGCATGCTCCGAAATTGATCCAAATGATTCTCTTTCAACATGCAATGTCTATATTATCAAGAGCAAACTTTGCGGACGTGTTCAGGATGCAGCTGTTATTTTCGGCCAACTCTTGTCACGCAACGCCATACACACCATACACACCATTCCCCACTTTTGATGTTTGAGATGCAGATGCGCCGACATCTAGTAATCCCACTCCACGCATGTGTGTGGCTGCTCCACTTCCAACAAAATTGCTGAAGCTCATCCGATGTCTTGTAATCATGAACAGAAAGGACCGAAACTTAGACTAGATCGTGTATAACTCATAAGTTCGTAGCAGCCGTATTATAGCAACAGCGGCCCGTGTTGCATGACACATGTCCGATAGACCCCGGGAATGTCACGTCCGGGTGACAGCGGCGCTGAATCAGCCGCGTGATTGTGTATCTGTAGCTCCGGTCGCATCACCCGTGCCGTCATCGGCGATAATGGTAGTCAGCGCGCGCGGGGCACGGCCAACCGCACCAACACGAGGACAAAAGGCTGTAATTGCTGATAATCTAGTGGAGCCGTGATGAACCCTGCGCATACCTCCTTGATTTTGTTATAGCCTGTCAAAATTCATTCTTGATTTATTTCCGCACCGAATAGCTGTTAGTAACAGGGAATGTTTCAGACACTGTTGCCTTTGCATCTTCTGCGCAGTTTGTTTTCTGCATAAAAGCCCTCCAGTGAAGCATCTTGAGATAATTTAAATGGCATTAAAACTACATGCAAAAACGTTGAATACTCTGGCAGATACCAATCTTTGAGGCAGGCTGTAGTACCTGATTTCAGAATAATGTTTACTTCAATCGAATCCAGTCTGATCTTTGTCAATGCGCAGTGCCCTTCAACGCAAAGGCCTCGGCACATGGCGTTTCTCCCATGTGGACAGCAACGGTGCGCGTTGCGATAAATCAGCAAACCACGTGTTCTGTGCTTGCCTGCAGCCGATGCACCAGCGGTGTCGGCCATACTTGATCCAACGTGGTGCGGCTCGCAGCTTTTCCCAGAATTTCACGCTTGAAATTTAACCAAATGACTGCTTTATCTGTGCATTGGATGAGCCTGGTGTACATTTTAGACTTGGGTGCGGTGACCTCTAGTTCCGCACATTCCTAGCGCAGGTTGCGTCATAGCTGCCATTTTTAAGACCGAGCTTTACGAGGCACCTATGGTTGTAGGACACAGATGGCTAGACTGCGCAGTTTCTGCTCAGTTGCTTGAGAAGTAGTTAGAAAATGACTACCGTGCTTTTGCAAGCATATTGCTTTTAGTCTTTTAGTGGGTGCGTACACCAAGGTTTGTTGAGATCCACTGGAAAGAAATGTATTTGAAATGTGAACACTATCAACAACAAAAATAATGCATGCACAGTGTACCAAAAGAGTTGCAAATTTTGTGGAAACTGAGCGTGATCAGATGGTTGTAAGCACGTAAAGAGCTCGGCTCCTTCTCACGCTCATAAGGGCAAGGTGTGGTACGCTTTGGTGACCGCCTGGTGATGTGAAACACCTTGTGTTTGCAAACTGAGAGGTGGCTTGGTTGTGATCCGACAGTAGTTGTAAATTGACGGCGCTTTTAGCCTGTGAACTAACTGTATTCTTACCGTGACGATACTTGTGAAGAGATGGTGGTTGTGACTTGACGATGCTTGTGGAGTGGTGGTGCTTGCAAACTATCGATGCCTGAGAACGGACGATTTTTGTAAGGCGGCTTGCTTGTGACGCAGAAGCGTTTTGTAAACACAGAATGTCTGCGTAGTGACAGTATCTGCAAATTGGTGGCGCGCGCCAAACGACAAAGTCTCTGCTTTAGTGATGGTTTTGAATGACTTAATCTTCAATTAACGTTGCTCGTAAACTTAAACGTTCGTAAGCTGTCGGTGTTTGTGAAGTGGTGGCGCCCGCGCGCTGCCTGCGCTTGTGAAGTGGCGGTGTCCGTGACCTGCCTGTGTTTGCGAAGTGGCGGTGTCCGTGACCTGCCTGTGTTTGCGAAGTGGCGGTGCCCGTGAGCTGCCTGTGTTTGCGAAGTGGCGGTGCCCGTGAGCTGCCTGTGTTTGTGAAGTGGCGGTGCCCGTGAGCTGCCTGTGTTTGTGAAGTGGCGGTGCCCGTGAGCTGCCTGTGTCTGTGAAGTGGCGGTGTCCGTGACCTACCTGTGTTTGTGAAGTGGCGGTGCCCGTGAGCTGCCTGTGTTTGTGAAGTGGCGGTGCCCGTGAGCTGCCTGTGTCTGTGAAGTGGCGGTGTCCGTGACCTACCTGTGTCTGTGAAGTGGCGGTGCCCGTGATGTGCCTGTGTCTGTGAAGTGGCGGTGTCCGTGACCTGCCTGTGTCTGTGAAGTGGCGGTGTCCGTGACCTGCCTGTGTTTGTGAAGTGGCGGTGTCCGTGACCTGCCTGTGTCTGTGAAGTGGCGGTGTCCGTGACCTGCCTGTGTTTGTGAAGTGGCGGTGCCCGTGAGCTGCCTGTGTCTGTGAAGTGGCGGTGTCCGTGACCTACCTGTGTCTGTGAAGTGGCGGTGTCCGTGACCTGCCTGTGTTTGTGAAGTGGCGGTGTCCGTGATCTGCCTGTGTCTGTGAAGTGGCGGTGTCCGTGATCTGCCTGTGTCTGTGAAGTGGCGGTGTCCGTGATCTGCCTGCGTCTGTGAAGTGGCGGTGTCCGTGATCTGCCTGTGTTTGTGAAGAGGCGGTACTCGTGACCTGCCTGTTTGTGAAGTGGTGATGCGTGCCGCGTCTCAGCGTCCGCCCCTTCCGCAGAGCGTCGGGGCGGGGCCGGTCGCACGTGAAGCGTCCCATGAACGCCTTCATGGTATGGGCGCAGGCGGCCAGGAAGAAGCTGGCAGACCAGTACCCGCAGCTGCACAACGCTGAACTCAGCAAGACGCTCGGCAAACTGTGGAGGTGGGTCGCCTGTGGGGCCGGAGGCAGCAGCCGGGAGGAACTTTTATGTTAGATTTTTTTATTTTTGCATGGAAAGGCGTTGTTAGCAAGCTTTGAGATGTCAAACGATACCCTTCTTCCTGGAGCAATAACATCCAAACGCGTTTTATGAACTCTCAGTTCTTTGATTGTTCGCTCCATTCTCAGGCTCTAAGCTCTCAGAAAGCCATGTCACAGCTCATGGATGGGCCCAAGAGATTTCTTACTGTTGGATCCTGCGCATTTGTGTCTGAGTAAACCCATCAAAGCCCTCGACTCGCGCTGCGTGCGTGTTTCACGGCCGTAGAAACACTGGGACCCACATGGTATCATGGAAGGCTCAACAAATAGGGAACTAAGACACTGACTGTCGACCATAAGATTGGGGGGGGGGGGGGGGGCACCGCAATAGGTCTAAAAATGATAATAATAAATAAAAATAATAATAATGGGTCTAATAACACGGGCCGAGTATTCTAACATTCCGCTTAGGACGTGGCACGCGAAGAAGGCTGCTTATAACTGCCAGCATGATATCCTGTAACGCTGGCCGTGTGCGAGACTGGCGAACCGATCTCAGTCAAAGGCCCGCCCAGCTCGGGCCGCGTGTATTGTGTGGAAGGGGACGGACCTTGCGCGAGACTGGTGAGCCGATCTCAGTCAAAGGCTCGCCCAGCTCGGGCCGCATGTGATGTATGGAAGGGACTGACCTATGGCTCACCGTTCCTCGCACATGTTCGGCACGAAGCACATGGTCGCTTAAAGAAAGAATCGTCTGTAAAATCAGCCCGGTCCACCTGAAAAGCACGGGTCCGCCGCTGCCCGTACCAGGGCGGAAGTGCTCAGCCCTGATGCAGGGTGCAACGCTGCATAGACTCGTAGGTAATATATCAAATCTGGAGGAAGTTTTAGCCTTCGAAGAGCATGGTATCGGCGCCATGGCTTAGTTGGTTAAAGCGCCTGTCTAGTAAACAGGAGATCCCGAGTTCGAATCTCGGTGGTGCCTCTTTAGCACATCGAATCTGAAGCCCCTATCTTGTCTGGTTTCACGAAAAATCGCACCAAGAAGCGCTTTGTTCCAAACAGAAACGTTTCTGTCAGCATGCTCCGTATCTTATGATACTTGCAATAAAGCTTGCATGCCCAGAAGTCAACTGACAACAGCACCCAGCTCCGATCCTGTGCACACAGTGCCTGAATGGACCCTTCTCGTCCGTGAACAAAGGAGACGAATGACTGTCTTAGTGCAGTGCCTGATACGGGCGATGGTGCGTCACTGAAGTACGGGAGGCGCAAAATGCCGCTGATAGCCGTCCGATGCATCACCCACTTGTGTGAGCTGGCATGGGACTGCTGCATGAGGTCATCGTCGACTTGTATATGAGGTATGAGGTTTGCTTACAGCCATGCAGCGAGCAAAAGCCGATGGCTAGGTGACGATACAACAAAAATTGCATAAACTTTGAACACCATCTGACGATCAGTAAATGTCCCACCTCCGCCAAGTGCTTCCAGCTTTCCCCACGTCACGGTGGGCGTTTGTCGGCATGTTTGTGCACCTTCAATGCACTTCCGCGGTGCGTGATGCTCACAGGCCTCGGGTGAGACCCTACTCTGTCGCTATCGGTGCAAAAATGTCATTGCAGAGGCCTTCGAGACCACAGAGAATGCCGCGATCGATTATCAATGAAACCTCTTGTCGATCACTCGAGAGATAGGACAGCACTTAGCCCAATCCCGTGGTATATTGACGCTGTCGGCCGGATGCTCGGGCGCTCACGTACAACAACTCCTCGCATACATCCCAATCCCCATTCCTCCAATGCCTTCTTGCAATCCCTCCCCTGCAATCCCTCCCACGCAACATCAGGTGGCGGAAGTGGCAGCGTTACACGTCTGTGGCTCCGTTCTGCAGTCCCCCTGCCGGCGTCCTCATACAAAGTGTCGTGATGTGGACAAGAGCGGTCCATTTTCGAGAGATAGGCGTTCCAGGTTATCCGCTCGTGTTCAGGGACAGCACATCTTGGGAATGTGAAGAGGCGTGGAGGGGGCCGTCTCTCACGAGCTAATTCAGATGTCGGAACCCCGGCTCAGTGAGGGCAGATTAGCTGCTTCACAGCGCCGAGGCTCTTCAGCGGAGAGGTGCTCCGGGGAGGTCATCCAGGCGGCACCAGTGCCCCGCTGTGCTGATGCTGACCGGCAGGACTGCCGCGGTGTCGGCGCTCGGCTGCGTGGGAGGTTCACAGGACATGGCTTCAAGTCTCACGGGGGGTAACATTGTCCAGGCCTGCGACTGCTTCGAAGGCTGGTGCTGGAACCATGATGCAGACGTATTCGCACAAAAAGCCGAGATGGGTGATGTGAGCAGATCTCTTAATGCGTAAAACTTCGTCACTCATCCTTCAGCAATCTCGGGTCAAAATGACTATCGCTGGTACCGAACCGGAGACCGAAGAACTCACGTTTGTGATGTTTGTTGCCTGTTATTGTGTTCTTTGAGTTGAAGGTGATCGCTAAGCCCTACGCGAAGGCCATGAATCACTGGCTTCTAGGCGGATAAAATGAAAAAATGACAAAGAAAGCTGAGCAGAGGAGAACAGGGACTAAGTACCTGCTTTAGAGACTTTTTTAGAGACTTGCCTGCAACAGGACAAAAGTGATCGACCTTGGTGCAGGGCACAAAGTCATGTAGTCTCGTAAGTTATATGTCAAACATGCATTGATCTCAAAGGCTTTTTTAATAGAATCGTTGGCGCCATGGCTTAGTTGGTTAAAGCGCCTGTCTAGTAAACAGGAGATCCCGAGTTCGAATCTCGGTGGTGCCTCTTTAAACCCTCATAGCATCTGGTTTCAAGAGCAGGCAAACTGGCATATGGTGCGGGCGCTTTTCTAAATAATTATTTTCTTGCCCACCATACACTTGCGGAACTCTAGCTGCGGACTGGAATAGCCGGCAGTTTAGAACGCCCAGCCGCACGGATGTCGTTTTTTATTCGGTTAGGGCAGGATCAAAACTCCGATGCGCGCCTGCCCCGCCGGCAGCTGGCTGAAGAGGTACGATCCAGCGCTGGGCGCGCCTGCCTCGCTGGCAGCTGGCTGAAGAGGTACAATCCAGCGCTGGGCGCGCCTGCCCCACCGACAGCTGGCTGAAGAGGTACAATCCAGCGCTGGGCGCGCCTGCCCCGCCGGCAGCTGGTTAGAAAGGCTCGACCCAGCACTGGGCGGCCTTGTCGCAGCAGTCCACGGTGACAATAATGTTGCTGCTTCGTCCCGCTGGACTGAAAACATCGGAGAGGAGCTTTATCAGGCGAGCTGAAGCTGCGTTTACCGCCATTGCCCTTGCCCGACACTGGATGGCCATGGGTGGTGCGTTAAAGGAACTGGCTCTCGCAAAGGGTTTTCTTTTTCAATTTTGTGTTCGTCGAGACAAGCAGACAGCTTGGACGAGAGACAATTTCAACCCAACGCAACTTCGAACGCCTTTTCTATCTTTATTGGGGCCTTATGTTTGACAGTTACGTTGTGAAATAAACTCACGTCACGAGCAATCACCACTTTTTGGTTTTTGGCTTCCACAGGTCCCGCACTGAGCCCAAATTTTGCAGAACTATTACAGCGTCAACATGTATTTGAAGGCCCTCAGGGCCTTCAGGGCCCTGAAGTCCAGGCTGACTCGCCACGTGAGTTCAGAGTTCTAACGCTGACAGTGATCGACCATTATAGGGAATGTTTCATATTTGAAAATATGGAAGCATGAATCAGATATGATGAAACAAGCTTGCTATTGGCATTCTTTTTAAGCGGAAAGGACTTCTCTAGACAGCGCAATTCTACACTTAATAACTATGCTCCTCAATGTACGATGGTTTGATTACGTCACCGTAGCTTGCACAGCATTGCTTGAGAGCCAATTGACGGCCGTTATATCTGGAAATCACGCTCACAAACGCCAGATGTGAACGTCTCGACGATAAAATTTATTAGCCTTGATCGCCGCGTGGCTTATGGAATGGCAGGATTTGAATGACGCTATTATGACGTCATGAATGTCAAAGTGGCTTTGAACTACTATCCTGAGTATACCTTTCCCCCATTTTGCGGGCGTGTAGCTCAGAAACTAGACGGGTTTGGGTCTTAAGCGGGGCATACTTGTGAGCAGCACCGAAAGATCTTCAACATGGCTATTTTAGTTCAAAACCTCATACAATTGTGGAACAATCTCTTCATATGCCGAGAAGTACTACTTAAATGGAGTTAGCAAGAACACATTGGTTATCTTGTCAATAATCTATGTGTTCACGCTGTGGCTACAAGATATAAGCACATTAACGTATTTCTGTTTGTAGTTACACACTTCGTAGTTTAACACTGACACTACCTAGCAAGCTGCTCTTGGAAAAACCCGTGTAAAGTGTGAAAATTATAGGACAAACCCAGCAAAAGTTCACTGGCAAGCTCACCAATGAAGTGTCAAAATATGGCACACCAGGTGGAACAATTTTCTGAAAGGAATATGCGAAGACCAGATGGCAATAACCACCCACACCTCAGGGTCCAACCGTGGGTAATTGTCATGTAAACAACTGTTGCCACAACTGCGCCACCGATCGGAAGACTCGAGCGTTTAGATAAGACGATAGTATTAGTCTTATTCTTTGGAAAAACCAGGACAATGGAGATATAGTTTGGTTGATATTTCGGCAACATACCTTTATCGAAACAAAAGCAGAAGCTTTGCTTTTGTTTCGATAAAGGCATGTGCCAAAATATTAACCAAACTGCATCTCCATTCTCCTGGTTTTTCCAAGGAGCCATTCTCCTGGTGTTTCAGTAGTATTAGCCTCTCATTATACGGAGGAATACGTCTAATACTACCGTCTTATCTATGCGAATAATGTTCCTCGCTAATGCACTGAAAACTTACATAGATTTGAGCGTTTGATTGTCATTTGTCGAGAAAATGTCGGAAGGTTTTGGCATGG